ATGGGCTCCCTCCAGCCCAGAGGATCAATGGGGGTTCACTTTCACTGAACTCAGCAACACTCCCTCCCCATCTCCAGTGGCTCTGAGCAGGCCTTCGGAGCTCTCTCTCTCTCTCTCTCACACACACACACACACACACACACACACACACTCACATCCCACTCTGGGGAAGAGGAACTCCCCAGGCAGCTCCTAGCACCTCTTACCTAAGTCTGGATGGCCTAAGTCTCCCTAGAGTCCTTTCTGGGCCTCCTTGGGAAAAGGAAGCAGGCCTTACCTTTCTCCCATACTACTCCTGCTCTTGGTGGAGGTGAACCCTCCTCTACTCCGAGGTAAATGATGCCTGTGATGCCATCACCCCTGCACACCCTCCACTAGAGAAAGCCTTCCTAGGAAGCCTTCCCAGACTGAGAAGAGCTGCTAACCTAGGGGAATCTCACAGCACCCCTTTCCCCCTGATCTCACACATGAGGTGCGCGAAGATCAGTGGTTCCCACGTATACAGCTTCCTGCCACATCTCACTTTTCATGCCTTGTCAGTAACTCCTCCTGGGGGGGTGGGGGGAGGGCTCTGACTTGCACTACCAGCTAGTCCAGAGGCAGAGCCAGGAGGCCTAGGCATGGACTCATATTCATGGCTGTTTTTGCCCCTGGACTGCCATCCTTCCTGGGAGCTGCCTCCCATTCCACCTTTCCTGAGTTGTCTCCTATAGAGCCACAGCCTCAGCAGCACACCAAGCTCAGGCCTGGCCAGGCTCTTTGAGTCCTATCAGGCCAATTGGCCCTTCAGCCTAGCTTTCAGGATCTCCTGGTCCCTCCTTGCCAAACTTGATCTTCTTTCCCTAGGCTCTATAACATCCCCTCCCCCCTTCCCTAGGACACACATGCATAGAGGTAGAGTAGGCAAATGTTTTCACTGAGACTGTCTTGTCTGTAAAATAGGTGTGTGAACAGCATTACACCCCCACTGTTGTGCTGTTGGGTGGTGAAACAGGCAATGCACTTAAAACGTCCTGCAGGCAGCACAGCATTTAGCATGGGCCTCACTCATGGCCGCTGCAGGCATTATTGGCTGTACTCCCCAGGTCCTCCCCAGCCTTGTTACAAGGCCCCAGGTGCCGTAGCCTATGGAGACCTCTCCCTCTTCTGATCTCTATTAACCCTGACATCTGTAAACAACAACAAAACCCAGGAGGGGTCTGGTGGATAAAAGCCTAACCCTTGCACCCCCATTCAGCCAGAGCACCTCTGGCTTAAATGCTTTTTACAACTGGAGTGCTAGCTTATGACTCTATTTGAAAAAGAATTCCCCTGCTAATAAAGTCTGAAAAACAGACTTAAACCACCCTATTCCCACTTCAAGGAAGGAATCTGAGCCTTTGGTTGACCTGAGGTCACACTGGGAATTGATGACAGGCTTTAAGTTGGCCCCCAAGGGGCCAAGGTTCCAGCCACTCCCAGGCCTCAGCCCTTTCAGGCCTGCAGGTTTCTGCCCCAAGCAGAATCCTGGCAAAGAAGGGGTGGCCACCCAGGGTTCTCTCTGCTCTCAGTACTGACCCCATGGCCCAGGGCACAATTGGTGTGTGCAAGCCAGGAGAGAAGACAGGTCACAGCTCTGGGGTTACCAACTGGCTGTGTACCCTTGGGTGAGTCTCAGTCCCTCTAAGCTTGGCTTTCTCACTTGCAAAAGGCTGTTCTGGGTCCCAGAGGGGCAGAGCCTGGGGCAGAGCTGATGTTCAGCAAATGGGAGCACCCTCCCTCCTCCTTGAATCAATACTCTGCTCCATTGATGGATGGTGGTGACAGTGATGAATTGCAGATCTTGGAGCCCAGCCCCCTTTTTGTACAGATGGGGGAGCTGAAACCCAAGGCAAAAAGGAACTTGCCCAGGTGAGACAGAGAGGGCATCTGGGTAGAGCAGGATGTCTTGGCATGGCTACCAGGGAAAGAAATGAGGGCTGAAGGGCAGGAGGAAGCGGCTGGCTGCGGGTGGGGTAAAGGGAACAGGTGGGAGAGAGGGAGGGTGGAGGGTGGGAAAGCACAGCACCCCCACCCCTCCAGCAGGGGGAATGACGGAGGGAGCCCGAGACAGCTGCTTGCTCAGAAAAGTGTCTTAGTCACTAAAGGCTGCGGGGAGGAAAGTCGTCCTCCCAGTCATGCCCCGGGAATCCGGATGGGGGCGGGAAGGCTTCCCTGTCACTGGGGTGGCCACCTGTCCTCTCTGAACCGGACTTTCTCCTCTGTGTCCTCCAGTCCTCCAAGTATACCAGTGCATGCGGGGCTGGTGTGTGTATGTGTGCACACAAACACACACCACCTACTTTGTTTATAGGCTTATAAACTACCTCTCCCATCCCGACCCCTTCGGAAGAGTTCATGTGTTTCCCTTGTAAAATGCAGTGGGCCTTACCCTCACCAAAGCGTATGCCTGCGGGAGAGCCCATCACTGTGCCGTAGGAAAGTCTTTTCCGAGCCTAACTTCCATGCCTCTAGCTGCAGCCAGTTCCCTCCTAATGCTGCTGCTGGGGCCTTTGAGGAGCTAACCTAGAGTTAAAGAAGGGAAAGATGATGTCAGACCTGTTCCTGCAATAAGGGCTTCTCACGGGGAGAGGAAGGGACTTGCAGCTCCCCCCAACCAACCCAATGGGAAGAGAGGCATGGGTCCGAGGTGATTCTGAACTTGAGGATAAGACTCCCCAGAACAGACTCAATTTCGGATAATCTGGATGTTGACAAAGGTTAAAATACCATTTATGCCACAGAAGAGCCTCAAAAAGACCCCCCCCCCAAATCCCTTGGGACTGCTTTCCTTTCCACTATTCACACTTCAAACTTTAGTCTGAGCCCTAGGGTTCCTGATAGGTGAGGTGGGCAGGCGGGCAGCCCCCTGACTGGGAGGGCAGTGCCACCTGCCTAGGGGTGTTCACTTCAGTTTTTAGACAGGGGACAGACAGTGGGGGTATTGCTGAGTGGTGGAGAATTCGGCTGTATAAGGAGAGGAGGCTAACCCAGCCCTGACATTGCCTCCCCACTGGGGGTCCCCACACTTCCAGCAACTGGTGAGGCTGGGGCATAACCTGTCGGGGTGCATCTGCAGCCAGGGTCAGTGGGAAAATTCAGGTCTGAAAGCAGAAGTTACCGCTCTTTAGGGCAGAGGGGGAAAGGGTCCCTCTGCGGTAGGAATATGGGCCAGCTCAGCTTGGGGACCCCAGTTCCTGCTGCCCCCCCCTCCCCGCCTGCCCGCAGCTCTGCCTCCCTCCCTGCACTGGCTCTCAGCAGATCAATGCTGCCTTTGCTGACAGCTGAGAATGGAGCTGCCTTCCCGCCCCCACGCTCGCCCCTCCCGCCCTGCTCCATCCCCCGAGATCCTCCCAGAGGAGCCGGGAAGAGTTTGCTGGGGAAGCGTCACCCTAGGGCAGGGCCTGCGGAGAGGGTGGCTGCGTGGTGTGGCCGGAGCTTTCCGCGGGACAGTGCAGGAGGAAGGTCAGGACAACCGAATCACCATTCAGGGCGAGGCCTGGAGGGGTAGAGAAGGAAGGGCGCCCCCACCCCACAAAGAGAGGTCGGGCACCAAGAACTTTCCTGGAGAGGGCGTGCCCTGGGAGAGTCTCCCTTTGCGGTGGAATTCGGAGGCCCTTTGGGGAAGGGGTTGTCTAGCCCGCAGCTCTGACTCAAGCGTCTACCTCCAACGCCCATGTGTCCTGACACCAGTTTTCCAGCCCCGGGAGCCAGCGGGGGCGCTTCAGTCTGGGCTGGAGGAGAGCGGGGCTCTGTGAACGCAGTGGCCTAAGTGGGGGGGCAGCTCTCCCCCAATTGGATGAAGGGAAGCTCAGAGGTGGGGGGTGGGGGTGGAGGAAGGCCTACACACCTGAGGCCCGCCGCGAAGCGCCCTCACAAGGGGGCAGCCAGGCGCAGGCCTTTCTGGTGAAGCAGGCCTGGGGGCTGTTCCCCAGCCGCACACTGCCCCACACACCCTCCTACAAGCAGGGCCCCACGGGGCACCCCTCCTCGCTGCGGCTGCCAACCCGAGGGCCGGTTGCCCACTTCACACCCACGTGTGCTGATTCAATGCCCCACCTCGCAGCCCCACGGCCGGCCACTCTGCACACACAGGAGGCACTCCTGCGTGCTCGCGCACCTGCGCTTCCCGGGACGCGGGGTCCCATCCGCGACCGCGGTCACAACTCCACACCGCACTTTTGACAACCACAATCAGGCACCCCCGCCGGGTGTCGGGATCCACACGGGCCCAAGTGGCCGGGCACGCCGCGCGCACCCCGCTCGCACACGCCCAGCCGCCTGGCACCCCCCACCCGTG